AAAGCCAACAAGGAAGAGAAGGAGGAGAGGGAAGAGAAGGAAGAGAAGGATGTTTCCCCCTCCCAGACGGACATGTCTTCCCTGCGGCCGAATTTCTTTGTATCATACACGGCGGCAGACTTGGAGCACAAAGAGCAGGCCTTGCACATGGGGTCGAAGTCCGAGAGGAGACGCTTTGCATCCCTGAGAGATTCTCAAGCCTTTCACGGCAGCAAGAGGCGACTCAGTGGCCTCTGCCAGAAGTTGCTTGGGGATACTTGGGAATAAGTCTTATTCTTTGGGTACGATAATGCCATATAATTCCTAAGAATCAGCTTATCTTGTAAGTATTGGTAGGGTTCCCCAAGTTGAAGGTTGGTGAACCATCCGGCCTTCGAGTGCTTCTTCGCCGTCGTGGTCCTCACGAACGCCGTCTTCATCGGTGTGGACGTGCAGCAAAGCCTCGGCTCGACGTCGACACCGTTGGAGTTCCGAGTCTTGCAGATACTCGGCGGACTCCCTTTTTGTAGTCAATGTTGCACTCGCTTCAGAAAGGGTGCCCCCCGCCCCCTCTTTCCCCCCTCCCCCACACGCCCAAGCAACCCATTTTAGGGCGGAGAACCTGGCTGAAAGCCCTGAAACCTTTGCGGCCAAAAGACATGAAGCCGTCAGGCCTTCCTGAACTGAAGCCACGGCCCTTAAAACCTGAAGCTTTTAGGGCCTTAGGGCCTGAAGTTTCCTGCTGTCCTGGGCGGACTTCCACGGCCCTTAAAGCCCGAGTCTTTGAGGGTCTCAACACCCTCAAGGCCTCAGAGGTTTGCCTTCCTGGGCTGAAGCGAAGGCCCGCAAAGCCCGAAACCTTCGCCATGAGAGAGCCCCGTTCCTGACTTTGAACCAGCCTCGGGGGCTGAACCCCAAAGAACTCTCCCCAAAGAGCACGTTATAGCGAACACCCCAGACAAACCTGCTAAAGTGAGTCGGGCTGGGCCGTGGGCTACATATCACGATTTTTGTTTGGGGGCCTCATTTCGGAAGGAAAGCCCAAAAAGGTTTCAACAGATCCAAACTCAACACAGGGTCCAAAGAAGTGTAACCAAAAAAGCAGCTTTCGTCAATTATCTTTTAGGTAAAAACAAGTACTTCAACTCTGTCTGTGTGTGTGAAGTTAGTCATCTTGAGTTTTTTAGCTGTACAGTGATGTTATTGAAGACGCACCAGACACTTTCTGGAGCATGCCCTACGTATTATTAACATTAAATCGTAGTGATACAAGAAGACCCTGCAAAATTTAGCACCAATAAGTGAGCATACAATATCTGAGACATATCCGGTGGGAAGAGTTGAAGGTGGTTTAATCGCACTAGAGAATAAAAGCGGTGCAAAACGTGTTCCTGATCATGGTGGTGGTGATACTAATGCAAAAAACGTGAACGTGATCGTGGTGGTGGTGGTGGTGGTGGTACAATTCATCTAAACAGGCCATTTCATGAGGATGAGAAGAACGGCAAAACATTGAAAATAAAGCATGATGATGATAATGGATGATAATGATAACGATCATGATGCTGATGATGATGATGATGATGATGCTGATGATGATGATGATGAGGCGGAAGAGCAAAGGCCTGAAACCTTTAGCTGAGCCTGAGAGAGTTTGAACCTGAGTTTTGGAAGACGAAGAAAAGTGCATCTGACTGCAGCTGACCGAATCCTAACATTTCCCCCGCAAAAACTTGTTATGTTTAGCGAGTGACCCCAGTTAACTGTGTTCGCGGAATAGCCCTGGGAACCTTGTGATTATAGCGGGGTGATAAACTAAAGCGAGCGCAACATTAGTTTCTTGCCGCGGGGAATGCTATCTGAGGGAAGCAATTAAGTGTTCCTTGGAGCGTGCAATGCAGTGCCCAATCATTGCTGGTGGTTTCTCAGGTATGTATACGCTGTGCTGTTCACCGTCGAATTCGTGGCGCGACTGATGGCTTATGGGCTCCCCTTGTTTTTGGGTGAGGATTCGCTCTGGAGCATCCTGGATGCGATCATTGTCGGCAGTTCGCTTTGGGACCTTTGCGTCGACATCGTAGAGGCCGTGCAGGCACAAAGCACGGAAACTGCTGGCTTTTCCGGTGTCTCCAGCCTCAAGGCCTTTCGTGTTGTCCGGATCACGAGGATTGTGAAGGCCCGGCTCATGACTGCGCTAAAGTCACTAAAGATCTGTGGGTGAGTGGGATGGGTTGGGGACAGCTTAGGAAGGAGTTCTGGGGATGATGTTGATGTTCATACAGTGCCCCTGCATACTGACATTGCTAAAGACTTTCTTTTCGGATTGGAGATTGCGGTGCATCTCGCATCAAGGGGCGTAGGGCTCATGGATGCCCAGGTCATTTGCTGAACCCCAACCCCCCAACCCTCCGATCCCCATGCACGGGCAGCACGTGACAGAGACTCGATGCGCGATTGATCCTGAATGTTCGGAGGCAATCCGGCTGATGAAGATTTTCCGCTTCGTCATGGCCCTTCGCACGCTCATCACATCGATATTCCACACGCTGAAGTCCTTGTTTTGGGCGTTGATATTGCTTGCGATCATTGTGTACGTCTTCGCCATATTGTTCGTGCAGGACAGAGATGAAAAGGGCGCTTGCTTGTTGCTGATTGTTCATACGGACGGCTGAACAAAGCCAGTAGAGTATGCAGGTATCGTGACCCACACTGTGGAGTAGATGGGGCTTCACCAAATCGAAGACATAGGTTTGTTGTGGTGTGGTGCTTCTTCGAAGGGCTTGCAGCTTCATTGGAGGCTCTTTGACGTTGGAGGGAAAAACCATGTCCTGGAACCCTAAACCCTAAACCCTAAACTAAACCCTCCTGGCTGCAGGCGGTCAGCGACCACATTCACGACCCGGCCAATCACCCGATAAGTCCGGAAATCCAACAGGCAAGCGACCGCTTCTTCATTTCCTTGCCAGCCACAATGCTCAGCTATCTGGGCCTGTTTTCGGATTTTGCAAACAGGGTTCGTGAATTGGTTGTTATACTAATAGTAGGATGATAGATAGAACCATATAATGGAATTAGCAAATAGAGCAACATGCTCATCTGAGGCCTCTTCATGAGCATCGGCGGTGGAGTCAGTTGGGAAGAGGTTTTGTTTCCCCTACGGCGCATGTCCGTCATTTGGATGTGGTGCTTTCTGTTTTACATATCGTTCACGTACTTTGCAGCAGCTTGGCTGGAAGAAGTTTAATCATATTAATGTATTAATGTGCGTTGTAGTACAGAGCCGAACAACAAAGCGATAATAATAAGCATCGCTGGGAGGTGTCTGGAACAGACCACAAGCCTCTGTGTTTGTGTATGTGATACATGTAACCGAGTTGTGTTGCCTTGGCCACTCTTATTGCCGCAGGGCAGATGTAGCGCCGTGATCCTACGAAGTTTGGATCGAAACTGCACTGGTTTCTCGTTTGCTTGTATCTTTCGGACTGTGGTGTTCTTGATGTTGTGAGTGGACGTGAAGTAGTCGGATGTGTGAGTTTTCTTTGTGTTGGAATCCTTTTTTAGGCATGGGAGTTCCCCCCAGAGCCTTTTCTGCGAATCTTTAGCATGGACAGCTGTTGCCTGCCAGCGTGTGGAAAAGCTGTGCGGGTGGCCAACAACACCGCAATCAGCCGGATGTCCAGTCCCGATTCTTGTTGAAGTTGAAACTAGGTGTCGCCTGTTTCAGTCGCACGGGATGGCTCCAACTCCAGCAGTCTCCACGACTGAGCACATGTGAGGGCGCAACCGAGAATTGCTTTGGGTGTGCGAAGAGAAAGAGACACTGCTTACGCGTTGGAATTCGAGTAATGAAAATAAACCTGCCCTGCGGCGCTTTTGAACTAACTTGCATTGCATGGAGTCCCTCCGTACTTGGCTAGTTACTGAGAAGAGTCGGGAGCCAAGGTTTTGAACGTGGTGACTGGCGTCTTTTGCCAGTATCCCGGCATCATCTTGCAATTTGTTTCGGCCTTTTTCCTGAGTCAAACTGTCCAAGTTCTCTTGGTGTCGGACGGCAAATGCGAAGGTCAGCCATTGAATCTGCTCAAAATGATCACACCGCGGTTGTCCAGTCCATCTTGGCCGATAAACAAGCGCACTTGCAGAAAATCCGAGATCTTTTCGGTAAGCTTGGCGCTCAAGATGGGATCATAACGTACACCATGTTTGAAGAGAAGATTACATCCCCTGCAGTGCGCGAGTATTTCGAGTCACTGGGTTTGGATGTCTGGGATGCTTGGACGTTCTTCAAGCTTCTGGATGAAGATGCAGGAGGTGCTATCGAGATTGAAGAGTTTCTGATGGGGTGTCTTCGTCTCCGCGGGCAAGCTCGTGCCATGGAAATAGCGAAGATCATTCAAGATCAGTCTTGGCTCATCAAGAACCAGGGACTTCTCAGTGTGTATGTGGAGTCAGAGATCGCGCAGCTCAGACAGGATCTGGCACGGATCGTAAGTCACTTACCTACTGCAAGGCCAGGTGCTGAAGAAGCACTGTTGGCGAGATCGAGAGAGGTGTAGGCTTGGTTTGGAAAGTATTGCATCTTGGGCTCGAGGGTTTGCTGGCATTCATCACTCGACACAGGGCGCACAAGAGTGCTTTGCTGGCAGCAATGCTGCCAGAGGGAGCTTTGGTTGGCCAAGACCCGATGTTCTAATACAGACATCTCAGGCTCTTTTTGCTGCCGTGTGGCCAACGCCCACAGCACGGTGGCACATGTGTTTTCAAGCAATTCCACAGCGCCACTGCTTTCCCAGAGGGAACGTGGCACTTTGGTTCGACGCCTCTTGGATGTCGCCGGTGTCGGAAGCCCCAATTCATGGCATCGCAGCATAAGCCTTTGCACGTGCTTATGTCCGGTGAGATTTCAAGAATCACTCATGAGAAAACTGCTTGTGAAATGGGCCTGCGATGTTCAAAGGCTGCTTGTTCACAAATTGATCTTCGCAGCCAAAGTTGCCTGTTTTTCAACATTATTTTGTCAGGCCGCTCCGACTGGTCAGAGCGCACGTGCAGCGGTATTGGCAGTAAGCTCAGCCTCTGTCGTGTTGTGGGTTCCATGGGTTCCTATGGATCGGAGTGGGTGTTCCAGGCAAGCTTTTTGGGCTGGCCTTGCGCAACATCCCAGACCCTCCACCACCAGGCAAGCGTTTTGCACAAGAGTACTTGCCTACCGAACTGCGCCTTAAGAAGCATGGAGAGTTCTCACGCCTTGCCAGACCAACCACCGATGGTCTTGGCTGGGGCATTGCCCAAGCCAGCTTTCGGTCAATTGTCGCCGACCATGCCGCCGACGCTGCGAACCTAGCAGCTGTTGTCGGAAGCGTTGACTTTTGGCCTTGTAACTTTTCCAGAACTTGCTCAGATACACGATGATGCCGACCATCCCCGACCCACCGAAATGGGGGGAGCCTCCGACATCGGGGCCGGTCCCCGCAAAGATGACGAAGGAGCAGATGCAGAGGCCAGCGAGTCATGGTTCAGATTCTCTTCCTCCGACGCCCCGAAACTCGATGCGCCAAGCCTTTCAAAAATGGAAGGATGCTGGATCCTGTCCAGCGCTTCCTCCTACGTCCGGACCAGGCGCCAGGGTTTCGCTTTGGGAAGGAAACATCTTGCGCCACTTGGGGCAACTTTAAGCCACTAGCATCACTAGCAGCTAGCACGCAGACGATGCGCAGAAACGCGGGATGCACATGCAGGGGCATCGGCCACGACTCCACGACAGGTTTGCCAGCAGCTGTTCGTGGCGATTGGGGCGACCAACCGGGTGGAAGGCAGGCATGGGTTTGTTGGACCTTTGCTTCCATGCAATATTGTCCGTGACCGCCTGGATCCGCCTGGAGAATTACTTCTCCCAAAGACGGATACGAAATCTTGCGGCACATCATTAGTATTGATCTTTCGCCGGGCCCGAATGTTGCTTAGGCTTGCTGCGCAACTCCTTCAAGACATCCTTTCGCGTGCCTTCGGCGGGCATGGCTCTGCCGACAAAGGACCAGTGCGGGGGGTGATGTTGAAATGTCGTGTTGTAAGTGCCTGTGTGTGAAAAAAGGATGACCTCATGCTCCAAGCCATGCAGCAGGCTGGGGCAAAGGGGATAAAGAAGCCGAGGGCTCAATGAGAATATATTTATATATTATCGCGCAGAAGGTGGAATCGAACCACTGAGAATATTTCATCTCCTACGGATTTGAAGTCCGCACTCCACACCAGTGAAGATCATCCACGCATTTTTTATTTTACATGATATAATACAATTTTTATACTTTTTAATCTTGTTTTTTAAATTGCAGTTTTAATGTTTGGATTAATATATTGACAAAATTTATGTTTGAAAGCCTTGCTGGTATGTTGATGTGGCACGGGACCGAAGGCTGATCAGGCTCTGGTGATGTGAAATTCAACTCGTGCTGCTGCTCGAATGTGGGGCCTCTTGTAGGCGGCAGATTTCCGCAAGTCCGCGACCCAGCGGAAAGAGGCCTTCGTTCTCAGATACTGGTTGTGGCTGATGCTGTTCCTGGTCTGGTGAGCTTACTGTGATCTGCATGGCTGTTAGATTTCGCATCTCACGCATTCTGCCAAAGCCGAAAGAACTTACAGACTGGAGCAGGCAGAGGCTGTCAAGGTCCAGGCAGACTTGAAAGAGGCAGCGGCAGACCTGACGAAGCTGGGTGCTTGGCCTTGTGATTTGCCTGCGCACGATCGCTGAGATGCACTGAGCATGACCTGCCCTCGCGGAGTTGCAGAAGTCTGCCTTGAGGCCAGCCCGGGAGCCAGATTCAACCTTGGAGCTGAGCTCGTTGCCTCATTCCTCGGACTACAATCCGAAGGCCTTCGGGGAGTTTCTCTGACACACTGATTCCAGTGTTGCGCGAGCCTGCACGAGGGGCTGAGGGGGGGGCAGCGTCCAGCTTGAGCGCCCAGCGGCTGCAAGATCTGTGGCGTTCTGCGACGCCAGGTCACTGCTAGCGCGAGCTTCCTCCGCACGCATCGTTAGGCTTGCCAGGCCTGATGAGCTCTCACTCTCTGCATGTAGCAGGTTACAGTACACATATTGTGGTACACTTCTGATATGTCTTCTACCTAAGGGTGCCAACAGGGCCCATACTCAAGAACCCCGGAACGTCGTCTAAACTGGGAAGTTGGTGAAGGCGCGCTTTGAAGACCGCGAGCCACCATCCTACACTTGGCTCTTCCAAAGCAGCGCCGGTTTCCAAAAAGTTGGCTGCGCTGAGTGCTTGTGCATTGTGGATGGTACTTGAAGGTTCATGGGTACTTACCGGTCGGGTTATGAGTAGCCTAAAGAAGGTGAGGGCGATAGCTACCCCACTTGTAACGCGACTCTTAGGTACCCCCCCCTAAATAAACCCTAAACCCTACTTGCAAGTACCCCTGAACCCCCCAAGTATGGGGCCATACGAGGTCATTGTAGAGAATCCCTCAGTCCTATCCCAGTTGTCAGTTTTTGCTGACTTTGCTGCAGGGAAATGGAAAATTTTGCCTCAAACCAGAAGCCCAAGATAAGTTTCTGTTTTACATACTAATATACACAATACTTTTTACATTGTGTATACATTTACTATAATACACGAAGCCCTCATGTGCTTCCAACTTCCTGCTTCCGAACCGCGGCCACACAGGTCCAAGTTTCGTTTAGTTTCTTTCATGTGCTGGGCTCCATAAAAGAGGCCCGACCGGCAAAAAGTGAGGATCAGAAAGGTCCGATCGCAGCGTGGACTAGTCGGTTGTGGCAGGTGGTCGCCATGAAGTCCCTGGTGACAGGGATGCCACTCTTGATGGCATTCCTGCGACATGTGGCATCGAATCTCGGCTTGCCATGGCTTGCCTTTGCCCGAGCCGCAATGCTTGCGTCTGGTGCATGCTCCATGTTAAGTGAGCCGTGCTGTGGCTTTGCCATGCTGTGCATAACACCATGGCGCTGCGCGACACATGTTGCCTCAGGAGCCCGGGAGAGATGGCGCAAATCAACCCAGCTGACCTCAGTGCCATCGGTGAGCTCTATGTCCCCGTGGAGCACATCTGCGATGGGTTTCAGGAGATGTGGGACAACTGCCCAGGCAGTGCAGCAACAGAACAACCCTTGCGTGCTTTGGAGCAAAGTACACTTGTTGCAACAGGCCTCGAGCCCTGCGGCCCCTGTGAGCCGGAGCCTCACAGGGATTCGCTTTTGCCCCAATGAAGCACCCCTCAGCACCCCCGAAGAACCCCTAAGCACCCCCCCAAGCACCCCAAAGCACCCCTGAGCACCCCCTGAGCACCCCCAAGCAGCCACTGTGCCCTGAGGCCGCGGGACTGCAGCATGGGAGCCTGGAGCCAATGGCAGCTTCAAGGGGGCTGCACAGGGCTCCAGCTGCGGCACCGCGAAGTCAAGGCGCGAACATCTATGTCAGCAGGGGGGGCTACAAGGACGACTCCCCCTCATACAGTCCTTACTCGGGATTATATGAGGGGGTACTAGAATCCCTATTATAAGGAGTGTTTGTGAAGGACACTCATGCCAAAAATCAAGGTGCTCCATGGCATGTCTGGGCCTGACCCTAGGTGACGGCGAACCACTGCGGGAAGCCCTGCAACAAGCCGCTCACGGAGACATCGAAATATATTTTGGATGAGTGCAAGCCGCATGGCGCTGACTCCAGGCTGCAGCTTCTGACTTCTGCAACTTCTGATGGGAAGCTTTAAGGAAGCTAGGACCCTAGCTCTCAGGACTGCAAGTTCTCCGAATGGCAAGAGTGGTCAAAATGCAAGAACAAGAAGGACGCAGTCGAGTTGCCTGAGCCCCTTCCCCTTGCAACTTTGCATCCTTGCAAGCCAGGACCAGTCCATGCGAATTCGGACCATTGCGCAGAATCCGCAGGAAGGCGGAAAACAATGCAGGGGCGGACTCAAGGACGGAGTGGTAGCAAACAGCTTCACAGCATGGTTACCATCAAGAACAGCATCAGGAGACGAAGCCCTGCGGTGGGCCAAAGGACACGAACTGTCATGTCGGCGATTGGCACGAGTGGACCAGCTGCAGCGTCCAGTGCGGCATCGGTCGTCACACGCGCATGCGATGCTTGGGCGCAGTTGGGAGCAGTTGGGGAGCTTTAGTTTGGGGAGTTCCACACTGTGCGTTTCTGGTGAAGCGTTCGCAGCTAGCCTGCAACATTTTGCAACTGTTCATCTCCGCCCATCCGTCGCCTCCCCCCCCCAGGATACATCGACGTGGAGGCCCGCCGTGGGGGCGAGACCTGTGAGCTGGATCTCTTGGAGACCGCCACCTGCGATGCTGGGAACTGCGCCGGTAGCCGCTTGCCTAAGTACATGCTGGAGGTTAGGTGCTTAGGGTTTAGTTTATAATGTTTTTTTGGTTCTGAAATTAGGTGCCTAGAACGGATGGCATCGGAAGGCATGTCTGGTTCAACATAGCTCGGCAGGTCTCGATTGCGTGGTCAGCAAATGGACAGAGTGGAGCATGTGCGACGAGACGTACATCCAGAAGTATCGCCGCCGTGAGGCCTGCTGTTGCTTTAAGTGGCATTTGTACTGCTGCTGCTGCTGCTGTAAGTGGCAATTTGTCGACACACCCTTCAGTGCTCTGCAGTACCCCCGAGTGCAATGCTTGAGTTCGCTTCTCACAAAATGATTGACCACAAGAGAGGTTGAATTTGTCTTGAAGGTTACGACGGAACCTACCGGCAACGGCAAACTGTGCGACTACAGCTGCCTGGCTAAATTGCACCTGGGCAGTGCCAGGCCCACCATGGTCTCAGCTGGAAAGGCAAGTTTCGAAACGGATCTCGATGAAGTTTGGATTCGCTGATGGCCTGACAGTTCCTGTCGCGCCAGGTTTGAAGGAGACAAAGGGGTGCGTGAAGCCAAAAAAGCAAGACTGCGTTCTAGCAGAGTGGCGTCCCTGGAGCACTTGCAGCTGGGCGGCTGGAAGCGAGGCTTGTGTGGTGTCTACCAGGCTCAGTCAAGGTTTGTGCGGTGTGCACCGGACTCAGTAGATGAAGAGGAAGCCGCGGAAGTGGACCAAGGTACGGCTAGCTGCGATGGTGGTCAGAGATATCGGGACCGCAATGTGCTGCAGCCTCCAAGGACGCCCCTGGAAGGGTGACTGAACCCAAATTCAACAAAGTTCCATATCGATGTAAACAGTTATGTGCGTACAAGCATCAATACACATGCGTGCGGGCAATTCAAATGCGCAACGACATCCACCAAAAACCTAAACAATTACAAGAAATAGGCCTAGAATTATGATTCTATTTTGATCAAAAACGCATAACACGTAGCTCTAAAGATGAGTTCGCATGTCAAATGCAAGACACACACACCGAAAGATGTAAACTCGTGTGTGTAGTGTGGATTTGTTCTCCTTAGTTCCCTTTGAGGAGGGGTGGCAGCTGCCCCACCGTCCAGCTGAGGGAGACGGCGTCCTGTGGACACTTGAGATGATTTCAGCACGGCTTTGTGTTGTTGAATTTGGTAGAGGAGCAGCTTGCAGTTTCAAGCCACATGAGAGTATGACTTCATCTTCCACATGATCTCATATGACTCCATCTTCCACATGCTTTCTGCTTTGTTTATGATTTCTTCTGACTCTTTGCGGTGCTGGACCAAGGCGTCACCTCCTGTAACCCTCAAGGTCCAGCAGATTGTGCGCTCACTGACTGGGCTCCTCGGCTGAAGCTGAGAGGCTGCGAGGCTGCGAGGCTGGGAGGCTTGGGAAGGTGTGAGAAACATAACGCAGCATAGCGGTATAGTATAACGTGTTAATGAACGCTGTGATGGACTTAGCTGAGGCCAAGTGGTCCGAGTGCTCAGCCACATGTGGTCAGCTTCTCAGAGCCTCTGAGGTATTGCATGTGAGATGCTTGGGCCTAGCCAGCTGATTCCAGATGTTGCGCTACTCCTGACGTATCATGCAGGCAGCGGGTCACGCACACGGATGAGGAAGGTGGACAGATTCGCAACAAATGGAGCGAAGCCATGCCGCTTGTCACACAGGCTTTCTCCAACTTGTGCCGTCTGCTTCATTGCATGCAGAAGTTCAGACCTCTTTCAAGCCCCCAGAAGATGCTCAAAATGCTCATGTTTTCGTTCGTCCTAAGCTGACAACGGGGCAACACGTACCGCTTGAGGTGACGGGGCGCTTCAAGAAGTCGGGCAGTGCACGCGCGAGGAATGCCAGGTGCCATCGCCGCATGCTGGCTGTGTGCACCTGCCGCACACGTCTCGCTGACTATGGTCCGTGCATGCAGACACACCATTGTCTTAGTGCAAGATATGATGCATTCGGATGCAGGTGGTCGACTGTCGATGGAGTGACTGGGAGCAGTGGTCCACGTGCAGCGTCTCCTGTGATGGCGGAACCAAAGTCAGGCCCGCCGAAGCGGTGTGGGTGCGACATGAACATAAATGAACACAAATGAACAGTGCTGCAGGCCTGAGTGTTTTTGAACATCAGTTCTCGAATGCCAGGAGCCGCAACATCGCGGTATCTCCGAAGGGCGGGGCTGCATGTGAAGCAAGAGACAAGGTGGAGGTGGCCCCCTGCGGATTCTCAGCGGTCTCGGCACTCGTGGTGCTTTCGGCACGCGTGCATTCGGCAGGCTAGCGTGATTAAAGTGGTTAAAAGCGTTGCTTACTGTCAGACACATATCAGACACCAAGGAACCCAGCATTGCGGGGAAGGATGCAGAGATGGCTTGTGGGGCGAGTGGCGAGAATGGACTCCTTGCAGCGGCAGCTGCAACGATGCCTTCCGAATGCGCAGAAGGCTGGCTGATGCATTCTTCTTCGGCATCCAGCAATGTTGGGGCCAAGGGGGGGGGGGTCTTTGCAGGAACATAGCTGTTCACCCCAACTACTGCGGAAACGCCACAGTCGCCAGCTCAGCGTCTAGCAAGACCTGATACATAATTCTGATATCCACCAGAGAACAAATTACACAAATCTTGAAGCAGACAGTCTTGAAACGGATCGGAGTACAAGGTGGGGCCACGAGAGGAGTTCGAAGTCTGCTCTCACTTGGAGCCCTGTGTTGCCGACGTTGATTGCGTACTTTCTCATTGGACAGCCTGGACAAAGTGCAGTGCCCTGGCAATGAGGGATAGACTTATACGATGCTTGCGGAGACGTGTGATTCGGTTGCCCGCCGCCCTTCGAAACTTGAAGCTTGCGAGCAAGGATGTGCGTGTTTAGCTGAGGCTGCCACTGCTTCGGGATGCGAACCAGATCACGCTACATCGAAAGGTTTCCATCGGGCAATGGCCATTTAGTCGCAGAGTGCCAGGGATACCAAGTGGCGTTAGGTCCTAGGATGCTCGAAGATGCTCTGTAAGGGCCGCCCTGACCCGTTGTTGCCTCTGGCTCTCTTGGTGTGTCCAGGTGAGACGTGCTTCAACGAAAGCCTGAAGGAGATTGAGCCCTGTAATCCTGGACCAACTGAAGTGACACCCGCAGACTGCTGCTCGCCCGAATTGTGCGAATCACACGCAGTGAAAAGTCGGCTTTTGCTTGCTGCCAGACAACCCCGCTCTGGGTGCAAGGCTCCAACGTGAAGCAGGTGAACTGCAAGCTTTTCACTTGGCAGGCGGCGAGTACTTCTGGCCCCTGACTGCCCGGCCTATGCCCAGTCACGCAACTCTGACTCTGTGCTCACTTCCCTGCTGCTTTGCAGGAGTGGTCCCAGTGCTCTGTGACCTGCGGCGGTGGCCAGCGATCACGAGTTCGAGAGGCATAAGTGAAGCGAGAACCGTAGATGGCTTAGATGGGTTCAGCTGGGAAGTAGCTTGGCCAACCTGAAGTGACAGGTGGAGCAGCCCTCCATGGGGGGCGGAAGGCCGGGCAAGTGCAGTTGGGGGGTGTTTCCTGGAGGCTCAGTTCAAGGTCCTGTGTGTCAAGGGAGTGGCACATGCATCACCTCACACTACCCATTGCGATCAGGTATAGGCAGGTTTCCAGAGGTCGATCCGCTGTCCAGCCAACAAACTGCAGCTTGCTCGCTTGCCTCAGGGCTTGCAACAGTGCCCTCTTGGAGACGGTTGGCTGTGCCATGGCTGTTCAAAGGTTGGGCCAATAGGCTGGAGTCAAGTATAGACTGCGCAGTAAGCCACGCTGTGATACTCCGATAGTGGCGGGAGTTAAGTACTTCTGGTATAGTGCCGACCCTGACTTGTCACCTGGCATGACCTCTTTGCAAGGCCGTACCCAGCGCTGCGAGACACACCATTGCCAGGAGAGACGCATGAAGCAACGGACCTGTGGCAACTAGAACTTGCCATGTGCAGGACTGTGTCTGGGGGGCATGGAGCTCTTGGGGTGATTGCCCTCCCTGCGGCGGCCAGCGCTATCGGCATCGAAACATCAACATCATGCCGTGGTCCAGCAGCATCAGGGTGACTTCCTAGGCTCCTAGGTCCTGTGACTGTTGCAGTCGCCAATAATTCTTGGCTGAGTTCTTGAAGCCTCCCAGTGAGTCTATCAACATCTTCAAGCTCTCGCCAAGGAATTTTTGCGGAAGGCGCTGCGAGATGCGCGCCGCGAAGGAGGCACTGGCAACTCCGGCTCAGATGGCGATGTGATTCCTGGAATTCCTCCCTTGACTTCTTGAATGTTGCATTCCGGGATGCAGGTGTCAGACTGCCTTCCCATGCCAACATGTGAGAGGAAGTGCGAGCCTCAGAGCGGTAATCTGGGAACAACTCGGTATCTACGTTTTTAAACCTCGCCTTATCCTAGTAGCATTCTGCGGCCGTGACAGTGACTGGGAGGCTCTATTGTGGCTGGAATGAATGGACAGCTCCGCAGTGTCTGGAGTCCTGTGGAAAAGCGACCTCCATGATCACTCGCAGTTTGGGCCCAGGCCTTAGTAAAACGGACCCACAGGCCAAGTTTGAGCTGGCAAAACTGTGTGCCAACGGTGAACTGCCTTTTGCCCACCTGGGTTGCCTTTGGGCGGGCCACCTTGTAACCAGTTGAAGTCGCAGTAGTAGTCACATTCGTTGACAGCGCCCTTGTTCCAGAAAAGTCAAAGGTCCTGTTGCGGCATGTTGTATAAAGAGGCAAAGACGCACACCCCCTTAAGCCGTGCCGGAGTGCACGTCGAAGCGGGCAAAGCATCGAAACACGCAAAACATCGGAAAACAGAAAACACGAGACAACGCACAACACGAGAAAAGCGAGAAGCGTGCAGAGCAGCAACAAGACAAAAAAAACGATAACAATAATCAACAATCGAACATCACCGAAGACAGCTTTGTTTGCTTTGTTTTTTTTTTTTTGCACTTTTCGCACTTTTCGCATTCTGGTTTCTTTGTGCTTGTCGCGTATTTGCACTTCTTGCGTTTTTCGCGTTTCACAGTCGCGCGGCAAATCAGCATCATCGAGGCACACGGAGCATTTCCAAACCCCACGTCCCCTGAAACCAAGCACATCCACAGCGTTGTAAGACGGAAGAGTACAGAGAGGAAGTTGCTTCTCGACACTTTTGTCGGAAATTGGCCATAGCCTGGAGGGTCAAGTAAGGGAAGGCATGGCATCGACTAGGAGGCCTTAGCGGCGTCGTCGGCGTCGTGGTGGTGGTGGTGGTGGTGGTCACGGGGGTCGTGCTGGTTGTGCTGGTTTTCGGTCGTAGTGGTTGTTGTTGTAGTCGTAGTAGCAGTGGTAGTCGGGGTAGTAGGGTCGTACTTGTAGCAGGGCAGGGGCAGTAGCGGAACATAGCTGGATTTGCTGCCTCCAGTCTGGAAATTTGGTGCTCCGTGGTGCGCGTTTGCTGGCACGATCTGATGCTTTCCAAGGCCTCCATGTGACGAAGCCGCTCGAAGAGAATTTACTCTTTGAGGTGAATGGGACGGCCAACTGCTCAGGGACGCAGGTCAATCAGACGGTGTGCCCGTACACGCGCCCATGCGAGAGCCTCGTCTGCAGGATGCATGGTTCTTAATGGGCAGGAGTTATTTGGCATTCCATGCGGGTACTGATGCCCAGCTACACCATGTTATCCCTGCCACATTCTGCCATCTAAGGGACTGCATCCCGATTCCCTGCATCTTCAGTCCATGGTCGGACTGGCAGGAAGCCACTTGTGAAGGCCTCTGCACCCGCAGCCGCATTGTGCAGGACTGCTCTGCAATGCATCTATGCGTTGCTAACTTGTGGAAAGACACGCGGCTTGAAGTCCATTCTAAACTTTGTGCAGGATGTCAACAACGAGTGCGGGCCGCCATGCAATGGACCGCTCGAAACTACGAAACGTTGCGCTGCAGACTGCCTAAGTCCAAGAGACTGCCAGGCGGGGTAGAGAAACGCACAAATGCTGAGCCCGAGTCATCCTGCATCATGCACCATGTGTTTCAGGTGACACAATGGAGCGAGTGGAGTGGGTGCAGCGACCCTGGACAAGTCCGTGTCCTCAGATGTGGCGTCTGCAGCAGACATCCGTTTTAGCTTTCATCGCTGTATCTGCCGCCGTTCCGCAGGCAGCCGGCCAGAGATATCGCAGTCGAGAGATCGAGTTCACCCCGCGCAACGGTGGGAAACCTTGTGGCCTGGCCAATACACCCCTTACTTAACGCGAACATGGCGACATGTTGTGCAAGGGAACTCTCCAGCTAGCTGGGTTTCCATCCTGGGCTTTGTTCTACATTGTCTTGGCCTGTGGCTTCCTTCTCATGTCCTCACGTCTTTGGCCAGGTACCGGAGTTCTTGATGAGACGGTGGGCTGCCATCAGAGCCCCATCTTTGTTAAGACCGCAAGGCAGCACAGATCCCAAAAGAGAGCGGCGCCGCCTTGTGGAGAAGCATGTTGAAGCTTTGAAATCTAGCGTGGAGCCTGCTGTTGCAGACGGTGCATGCAGAAACCTTAAACGCCTCAAACCTAAAACCCTGCCTGCCTTGTGCGAGAGTGAGCGACGAAACCCTAAACGCTTAAAGTTCATCCTCTGAGCCGAGGATGGTTCCACAGCCGTGCTTGTTCAGCTCTTGGGAGGAGCGATCTGTGAACATGCCTCAGTGTTGACCTCGGGGCAGTTCCGAGCATGACAGCTACCGGGAGAAGCATGAGGGTTTAGGGTTTACGGTTTTGGGTTTGGCAGGTGCAGCCAGCAAGTCCAGCTTCAGACAAGGGTTTGGGTTTAGGGTTGAGGGTTTGTGTCCCTTGGGGCGATTGAGTTCGCGGGCACGACTAGCAGGACTGGACCCCCTGCACAGCCACTTGTGGTGATGGCTGGCGTACACGCAAGAGGCAGATCGAGGCCTCCTGTCCTTTGACAAACCTTTCCCAATTCCTGGAACCAGATTCTTCTGGGATTCTTCTGGGTCTTTGTTGTGGTAAGTTCCTGTTTAGAGTCCAACCGTCCAACAGGGAGCCCAAAAGTTTTTATCAGCCGTAGCTTCTGCGATGGCGAGGTGCACGCGCACCGCGGGGGCATGACGTGCGATGGCAACTTGAAAGAGATCGACAAGTGCACTCAAGAAGGCTGGCTAACATAAGAACTACCGGAACTACATGCGCACTAATTCTGTCCTACTCTGCCCATCTTAGCATCCAGAAGTTCAGCCATCAGCACAGTCCAATTAGGATGTAGGTGGGGGACTCTTCTCCCCGCCGCCTTTCCCCACGATTCTGCAAGAACTTGCGCTGGTCGTGTGCCCCCTTGAGGACCTGCGTGCGAAGCTGGCACTGCAGTAGACTGCGCACTCGGAGACTGGGGCATATGGAGTACTTGCGACATGCACAACATGCGCTTCCGAGACAAGAGACGCTTGGGCCATGACAGAGAGAACGTTCGAAGCTTCCTCTTGGGTGCGTCTCTCGACCTTAAGAGGCAGCAAGGAGAGAGATTGTACGCGACCGAGGCATCACCCAAGATGCTGCGAACGGTGGCCAGGCCTGCGTTGGTGAAATCACTCAAGGACCTGTTGCTCGCTTGCGTCGCAGTGCTTGTGATAGTGATGGCTCACGTCATGGTAACCTACGATAGAATGCAACAAGCACTGGATCCCCTGAAGCATCCTGGCTGAAGATCCCGCACTTGTGTGGCGCTGCAGGACAGACTTGCGGAATGATCCCCATTGACTGCAAGTTGTCCACCTGGGCAGAGTGGGGACCTTGTGATCGAACGTGTGGACATGCACAGACGAGGCCTGATCTCGTCATGGCGTCGCACCATTTTCCCGGCTCGCCTATGCAAGATTATGCAAGTATGAGAGTCAAAGCGACAACCCAAAAACATCCAAAAGCCCTAGATCGTGAGCCTTCAAGATGCCTCTTTCTCGACAGGCGCCAGCGCCAGATTGAGCAGTTCGCCAAAAACGGGGGTGTGGCCGCTCAACTGCAGAAGCGGCTGAAAGCTTGTTACACAACTCTAAAAAGCAAGTAAGTCAGTCGCTGTGCCAATGCAAGTCGACAAGTCTCATGTTGCTGTACATCGGTTCTTCCTTCGTTTCACGACTTTGCAGACACCTGACCCTCGAAGTGATCGAAAGAAGTGGCATTTTTGAGTCAGACACGCACTGCGGCTTTTGGATTCGCAGCCTATGCAGCTACTTCTCTTCTTGAGCTAATTCGGAAGAAATGGCTTGCAATGGAAAGGACGTTCTCTAGTTTCAAGTCGAGGGATAATGGGAGACCGGCATGGCATGGACGGCTTTGGAGTGTGTGCCCAGGACTGTCCTGGCAGCCTGATGGAGACCCAGGGCTGCATACTGGAGGAGTGCCCCGTGTGGAATGCGGAGGCAATGCTGGCGAGCCGCATTCCCGTTGTCGCTTCGTGAGACCGCCTGGCCCAGGGTGGGGGAAGATTTTGGGCATGTTCGTGGGAGGGCGGATGACGGAGGAAATGTGAGAAATGGTTTCTGGGTGCACGGTACCTCAACCCTGTTGGTGTTGTTTTCAATTTTCGAGGCCATCTATCAGCCTCTTGGTGACAGAAAATCGGTTTTCGCATGGAAAACGAACGGAACAGAGCGGCAAGCACAACACATGCCGTGAGGAAAGATGCTGAGGTCACCCAAGAGCGCATCCCCGCGAAAACAGCGTGTATAGACATCTGCCTGTCAGGTGAGTGACTGGACACCGTGGACCGAATGCACGATGACTTGTGGGCCAGGCCAGGCCATAAGGGTGACTAAAGGTAGCAATGATGTTTTGGGTAGCAAGACCCTCGAAGATGGCGCGGCAGAGAGAGAGAGATGTTTGGGGAGCTCTAGACTCTAGCAATCTCTAGCAGCTGCCGGCCGGTACGAACGAATGTTTATCCGCCAGTTTAAAGGGCACTGGCGAAAGGAGGCATAGTAAGAAGTAGAGTGTTGGGTCTATTTTGTCCAGTGGAAGGCGAGCAAACACGCTCGCGCAGCATCCTCAAGGACTGGGGTCCTCATGAGTCCCCATCGGGGTGCGACTGCTGCGCTGTGCTGTGCTTTCCCCTGGAGCGCTTGCAGCATGTGGATTAAAGATGTTGTGCGCCTGTCTGCCAATTCCAGGAGCGAACTTATGGCGGACGTGGCTTCGAGGGCTTCCTCGGCGAAGCCAGGGCATGTCACGTAACGGCTGTGTGCACCTCAGCGTGTGCACGTTTAGACAGAGCCGCGGAGATGTGTGAGCGGAGCAGGCAACCATGAAGTCTTGTTCCCCGAGGTCTGCCCAAGGTCGGACTGTGAATGGGACGCTTGGGAGGAGTGGCGTCCCTGCTCCTGCTCCTGCGGTGGCGGTTCACAGCAGCGGAAGCGCTTCGTGAAGACGATGCCCCACATGGGCGGCGAGCGTGTCTCGCTGGCTCTTAAAACACGTTCTGAAAGATGTTCAAGATAAAGAAGATAGGACGAACCATATAACATATGGCTTGGAAGGTCTTAGTGTACTACGTATTATACAGTATGTAATGTGTAATATCATGTCCCGTATATGATACGTAATGATAATGTAGAACATGCATTGAAAGCATGTGACACGCATAACAGCATGTGCATATGTATTGAAAGCATATATTCTGCATAACGTCGGCTTGATATACCCTATTCTCCCTCCCCCTTCCTTTCAAGCCTTATGTAAGCCCCATGTTCGGGGTACCCACCTGGTAACTCACCTGGAAATTTCCTTAATTGTGGTACCCATGCAGAATTTGATGCAGACTATGCATGTAGAGTGTACAGGATTTATCATCAGAATCAACAAATGTTCCACAGCATACAATAGAATATAGAGTTCATGGGTAGTGTACATTATTACAGATTGTGTACAATATACAATGTATACTGCGCAATGTACCAGGTACAACTTATGATGCATAACTATTCATAATGTAGAATATACAGTATATGTATGTATGGTTTTGTATGTGTGGTATGTAAAACACATGGTCTAAACTTCATCATATAGAAGAAGATTAGGACATTCTAAGGAAGAAGGGACAGAGTGAGCAGAGAGTGGATTGGGAATATTCTGAAGTCCTCAACCCCCATATTGCTTTTATATGGTGGGGTTGTTGTCTGTTCATGCACTTACTTCGCTCGCTTTTTCGCACGTTTAGTATGTTAAGGTTAATGGGCCAAAAGACCTACACGGTCTTTGGTCGCGATTCGTTCGCGCGTCTTTGAATCAAATCATGCGGTCGCAAGCTCACTTCTATTTTAGATTAGACGCGTGAACTCATTACGTTCCTGCTGATCTGAGTGGGTGTTTGGCTGCCTCACGCAGTGGGACCTTCGGGATGCAGCGGCAGAGAGAGAGAACTCATTCCATTCACTACGCTCATGAGATTACATTGTGCCATGGTGAGTTAACGGCCCAGGAAGGTCATTTAATGGGGCCGTGAGTCAGGAATAAAGGACACCAAAAGCCTCACAATTTACAAAATGCTAGATATATATATATATGTGTGTATACATATATCCGAAAAAAGTTGTGACTCTATATATATATATATGTATTGCTTCAGAAGCGCAAATAAGACACAACACACCAAGAATTTGTTCCCGTGCCCTCTGACCAGTACTGCTGTGACACAAGGCTGTCCGCCCAGCGACAAAGTGGAGCTCCGGCCATGCAACACGCATAGTTGCAACTCGGCGAGATTAGCAATTTCTTCAATCTGGTCTTCCTTTGCCTTGAAAGTGTACTTTTCTTGCTGCGCCTTATTTATGTGCCTTTTCGTGTCTGTTTCGGTTTTGCCTGTGGAAATTTGACACCCATATCCGAAGAAGCATGTAGCTGTGCTGACTCCCACCACAGTGCTCTCGCAAGCCAGAGCCCAGCCAACTCTGAATCCCCTGTGGTGGCCGAGGTGCAGAGTCCTGCCAAGATGGCAAGTGGGGTGAGTGGAGTTCTTGGTGCAAGCCTTGGATAGCCTCAAGAGATCCCGCAAAAGAAGCGTGGGGTTATGGGAGGTATGAGGGTACAGGCCATCTTCTTCCAGCTTCCCTTCGACCTAAGGGCCGAGTGTTCGAAGAGCTGTGGTGGGGGAACCACCTTCCGGATCCGTTGCACGGCTGAAGCTATCAAGGTCTCTGCGCGCCCAGGAAATTTTGTCAACAATACCTCGTGGCATGGTGGGAACATTTCAGTGCGTGGGATCTCAGGCAAGATTATTCGGGAGGCTGATGCGTGCGGTGCTCCGGCTGTTGGCTTCTCCCACGAGACGGGCTTCTGCAACATGGACAGGCTCGGGCAATGCCGTCATCTTCCACTTCTGGGATGTATAAAGAACGACTTGATTTCATGTCTGACTTGAACATTGTGTCTGACCTCGGGATGCTAGAGGGAGCTGTGACATGCTTGTGCAAGGTCCTGTACGCCCTCTGTGAACTGCCAGTTCACACACTGGTCAGAGTGGACAACATGCTCCGCAACTTGTGACTTTCTAGCAAGTGCCAGTTGTGGGTTAGATGGGATGGGTGCAGCTGCTGACATGGGTGTGACCTTCGTTTCGATGAGCTAGTCCCACACCCCGTTGAGCATATCGGATTGGTGCACTGCGGTGTAGCGTGCTCATGCGAAGCTGAAATCTCAGGTGATGGTATCCGTCGGCGGGAGCGAAGTGTTGAAAGCTTTGGGCAAGGCAGAGAATGTATGTTCTGCGTCCAAGCGTGGCTCACACGTGTGCAAATGCAGTGCAGATCGTGTGATCTCTCACGCAGGTGCTGGGCTGTGGTGTATCGGTGGCTTGAAGGAGGTAGAGCCTTGCAACCCAGCTCCAGGCTCCAGCCTCACTCACCGTTCATGAGAGCCAGATGCGCGTGAAACATGAGTCAACACTAGCTTTGGACTTGAGGCCAAGAAGGACCAGAGGAGTGCTTTGGTGGAAATCCGGCCGCTCAGACAGCACCAGCTGACGCTCTCTGAGCTTCTGTCCTTGACGCCGAAGCTGTTGCTAAATTTCGGGCACCACGGGCGTCGCCTACGAGAGCCCAGAAGCAGCTTCAGATTCTAAGGGGCGCCGCAAGCCTAAGGTGGACTGTCAGCGCAGCGACTGGACACATTGGAGTATGTGCAGCAAGAGCTGCGGAGGCTTGGGAGCTGCCGCTGAACTCTGGACTCTTTAGTGCGTTTGCAAAGTTCCCTTTGCGTGTTCTGAAACAGGTGGCGAAAGCCTGCGATCGCGCGAGATTCTGACGCACCCCAAATTTGGTGGCGAGACTTGCGACGGCCCGCTGGAGGAACTCAGAGCCCGCTGACAGCAGAAAGGGTTAGCACAGACGTACAATTACCAACCACGTTTTTTGTATACATGCAGTCAAGATATGAGGCGCGAATCTACTTAGTAGCGAGCAAGGACTGCATTGAAGAGGCATGACAATACACACTTATGTGCAGACTACACTCAATGTCAAATCAAATTCGTGCGTGAGCAATTCAACATTAGATGTTACGGGGAAAGGGCTGCCCGATCATGCAGCATGCGTGAATTAATACACCCCCGGGCCGAAAGTTTCGACCCACAGCACATGTTGGATGGCAGAAAGTGAAGACTTGCACGGAGTCGCGGAGTGCCGAGAAGTGGAGTTTTCCCTACGCCTGCCAGCGGAGAAATTAATACCCCGTTTTAAAAATATAGCACTATAGAAGCTCCGGAGGAGTCCCCCAGGCTCACTTGTGTCAGGAGTCTATGGGGAGGAGGGCGGGGAACATGTGTAAGGACTTCTAGATGTCGGTGGGTCGAACTATTGGCCCGGCGCAGCATGTGTTTTGGTGGCCAGAGTCTGCTTCAAAATGGGCTTTTACGGAAAACAGCATGCGTTTTGGTGGGTAGAGTCTGCTTCAAAAAGTGCTTACGAAAGGCAGCATGCGTTTTGGTGGCCAGAGTCTGCTTCAAAAAGGGCTTAGACGGAAAACAGCATGCGTTTTGGTGGCCAGAGTCTGCTTCAAAAAGTGCTTACGGAAGGCACCCCCGGGCCGAAAGTTTCGACCCACAGCACATGTTGGATGGCAGAAAGTGAAGACTTGCACGGAGTCGCGGAGTGCCGAGAAGTGGAGTTTTCCCTAGGCCTGCCAGCGGAGAAATTAATACCCCGTTTTAAAAATATAGTACTATAGAAGCTCCGGAGGAGTCCCCCAGGCTCACTTGTGTCAGGAGTCTATGGGGAGGAGGGCGGGGAACATGTGTAAGGACTTCTAGATGTCGGTGGGTCGAACTATTGGCCCGGCGCAGCATGCGTTTTGGTGGCCAGAGTCTGCTTCAAAATGGGCTTTTACGGAAAACAGCATGCGTTTTGGTGGGTAGAGTCTGCTTCAAAAAGTGCTTACGAAAGGCAGCATGCGTTTTGGTGGCCAGAGTCTGCTTCAAAAAGGGCTTAGACGGAAAACAGCATGCGTTTTGGTGGCCAGAGTCTGCTTCAAAAAGTGCTTACGGAAGGCACCCCCGGGCCGAAAGTTTCGACCCACAGCACATGTTGGATGGCAGAAAGTGAAGACTTGCACGGAGTCGCGGAGTGCCGAGAAGTGGAGTTTTCCCTACGCCTGCCAGCGGAGAACTTAATACCCCGTTTTAAAAATATAGTACTATAGAAGCTCCGGAGGAGTCCCCCAGGCTCACTTGTGTCAGGAGTCTATGGGGAGGAGGGCGGGGAACATGTGTAAGGACTTCTAGATGTCGGTGGGTCGAACTATTGGCCCGGCGCAGCATGCGTTTTGGTGGCCAGAGTCTGCTTCAAAATGGGCTTTTACGGAAAACAGCATGCGTTTTGGTGGGTAGAGTCTGCTTCAAAAAGTGCTTACGAAAGGCAGCATGCGTTTTGGTGGCCAGAGTCTGCTTCAAAAAGGGCTTAGACGGAAAACAGCATGCGTTTTGGTGGCCAGAGTCTGCTTCAAAAAGTGCTTACGGAAGGCACCCCCGGGCCGAAAGTTTCGACCCACAGCACATGTTGGATGGCAGAAAGTGAAGACTTGCACGGAGTCGCGGAGTGCCGAGAAGTGGAGTTTTCCCTACGCCTGCCAGCGGAGAAATTAATACCCCGTTTTAAAAATATAGTACTATAGAAGCTCCGGAGGAGTCCCCCAGGCTCACTTGTGTCAGGAGTCTATGGGGAGGAGGGCGGGGAACATGTGTAAGGACTTCTAGATGTCGGTGGGTCGAACTATTGGCCCGGCGCAGCATGCGTTTTGGTGGCCAGAGTCTGCTTCAAAATGGGCTTTTACGGAAAACAGCATGCGTTTTGGTGGGTAGAGTCTGCTTCAAAAAGTGCTTACGAAAGGCAGCATGCGTTTTGGTGGCCAGAGTCTGCTTCAAAAAGGGCTTAGACGGAAAACAGCATGCGTTTTGGTGGCCAGAGTCTGCTTCAAAAAGTGCTTACGGAAGGCACCCCCGGGCCGAAAGTTTCGACCCACAGCACATGTTGGATGGCAGAAAGTGAAGACTTGCACGGAGTCGCGGAGTGCCGAGAAGTGGAGTTTTCCCTACGCCTGCCAGCGGAGAAATTAATACCCCGTTTTAAAAATATAGTACTATAGAAGCTCCGGAGGAGTCCCCCAGGCTCACTTGTGTCAGGAGTCTATGGGGAGGAGGGCGGGGAACATGTGTAAGGACTTCTAGATGTCGGTGGGTCGGCGCAGCATGCGTTTTGGTGGCCAGAGTCTGCTTCAAAATGGGCTTTTACGGAAAACAGCATGCGTTTTGGTGGGTAGAGTCTGCTTCAAAAAGTGCTTACGAAAGGCAGCATGCGTTTTGGTGGCCAGAGTCTGCTTCAAAAAGGGCTTAGACGGAAAACAGCATGCGTTTTGGTGGCCAGAGTCTGCTTCAAAAAGTGCTTACGGAAGGCACCCCCGGGCCGAAAGTTTCGACCCACAGCACATGTTGGATGGCAGAAAGTGAGACTTGCACGGAGTCGCGGAGTGCCGAGAAGTGGAGTTTTCCCTACGCCTGCCAGCGGAGAAATTAATACCCCGTTTTAAAAATATAGTACTATAGAAGCTCCGGAGGAGTCCCCCAGGCTCACTTGTGTCAGGAGTCTATGGGGAGGAGGGCGGGGAACATGTGTAAGGACTTCTAGATGTCGGTGGGTCGAACTATTGGCCCGGCGCAGCATGCGTTTTGGTGGCCAGAGTCTGCTTCAAAATGGGCTTTTACGGAAAACAGCATGCGTTTTGGTGGGTAGAGTCTGCTTCAAAAAGTGCTTACGAAAGGCAGCATGCGTTTTGGTGGCCAGAGTCTGCTTCAAAAAGGGCTTAGACGGAAAACAGCATGCGTTTTGGTGGCCAGAGTCTGCTTCAAAAAATGGTTACGGAAGGCACCCCCGGGCCGAAAGTTTCGACCCACAGCACATGTTGGATGGCAGAAAGTGAAGACTTGCACGGAGTCGCGGAGTGCCGAGAAGTGGAGTTTTCCCTACGCCTGCCAGCGGAGAAATTAATACCCCGTTTTAAAAATATAGTACTATAGAAGCTCCGGAGGAGTCCCCCAGGCTCACTTGTGTCAGGAGTCTATGGGGAGGAGGGCGGGGAACATGTGTAAGGACTTCTAGATGTCGGTGGGTCGAACTATTGGCCCGGCGCAGCATGCGTTTTGGTGGCCAGAGTCTGCTTCAAAATGGGCTTTTACGGAAAACAGCATGCGTTTTGGTGGGTAGAGTCTGCTTCAAAAAGTGCTTACGAAAGGCAGCATGCGTTTTGGTGGCCAGAGTCTGCTTCAAAAAGGGCTTATACGGAAAACAGCATGCGTTTTGGTGGCCAGAGTCTGCTTCAAAAAGTGCTTACGGAAGGCAGCATGCGTTTTGGTGGCCAGAGTCTGCTTCAAAATGGGCTTTTACGGAAAACAGCATGCGTTTTGGTGGGTAGAGTCTGCTTCAAAAAGTGCTTACGAAAGGCAGCATGCGTTTTGGTGGCCAGAGTCTGCTTCAAAAAGGGCTTAGACGGAAAACAGCATGCGTTTTGGTGGCCAGAGTCTGCTTCAAAAAGTGCTTACGGAAGGCACCCCCGGGCCGAAAGTTTCGACCCACAGCACATGTTGGATGGCAGAAAGTGAAGACTTGCACGGAGTCGCGGAGTGCCGAGAAGTGGAGTTTTCCCTACGCCTGCCAGCGGAGAAATTAATACCCCGTTTTAAAAATATAGTACTATAGAAGCTCCGGAGGAGTCCCCCAGGCTCACTTGTGTCAGGAGTCTATGGGGAGGAGGGCGGGGAACATGTGTAAGGACTTCTAGATGTCGGTGGGTCGGCGCAGCATGCGTTTTGGTGGCCAGAGTCTGCTTCAAAATGGGCTTTTACGGAAAACAGCATGCGTTTTGGTGGGTAGAGTCTGCTTCAAAAAGTGCTTACGAAAGGCAGCATGCGTTTTGGTGGCCAGAGTCTGCTTCAAAAAGGGCTTAGACGGAAAACAGCATGCGTTTTGGTGGCCAGAGTCTGCTTCAAAAAGTGCTTACGGAAGGCACCCCCGGGCCGAAAGTTTCGACCCACAGCACATGTTGGATGGCAGAAAGTGAAGACTTGCACGGAGTCGCGGAGTGCCGAGAAGTGGAGTTTTCCCTACGCCTGCCAGCGGAGAAATTAATACCCCGTTTTAAAAATATAGTACTATAGAAGCTCCGGAGGAGTCCCCCAGGCTCACTTGTGTCAGGAGTCTATGGGGAGGAGGGCGGGGAACATGTGTAAGGACTTCTAGATGTCGGTGGGTCGAACTATTGGCCCGGCGCAGCATGCGTTTTGGTGGCCAGAGTCTGCTTCAAAATGGGCTTTTACGGAAAACAGCATGCGTTTTGGTGGGTAGAGTCTGCTTCAAAAAGTGCTTACGAAAGGCAGCATGCGTTTTGGTGGCCAGAGTCTGCTTCAAAAAGGGCTTAGACGGAAAACAGCATGCGTTTTGGTGGCCAGAGTCTGCTTCAAAAAGTGCTTACGGAAGGCACCCCCGGGCCGAAAGTTTCGACCCACAGCACATGTTGGATGGCAGAAAGTGAAGACTTGCACGGAGTCGCGGAGTGCCGAGAAGTGGAGTTTTCCCTACGCCTGCCAGCGGAGAAATTAATACCCCGTTTTAAAAATATAGTACTATAGAAGCTCCGGAGGAGTCCCCCAGGCTCACTTGTGTCAGGAGTCTATGGGGAGGAGGGCGGGGAACAGGTGTAAGGACTTCTAGACGTCGGTGGGTCGAACTATTGGCCCGGCGCAGCATGCGTTTTGGTGGCCAGAGTCTGCTTCAAAAAGGGCTTATACGGAAAACAGCATGCGTTTTGGCGG